CTAAAATGGTAAGGAAACAAACTCTACTCTAAAACCTCCTAACATCCAAATGGCCCTCATCATGGACAGTGAAACTAAAACACTTACATATTCAGTTTTGCTTTCTTATTTTGTAAGACCTCGGATGACAAAGGATTCTATAGCTTTCTCTTCCTGGAAGATTAAAAAAAAAGAAAGAAGCCATTCCAAAAATATACGTATATATCCAGGTATAAGTCAAAACTTATCTTGAGGATAACCAAACTGTTCTTTGGAAACAGACTCCATACAGTGGAGAAAGCACGCTTTCCTGCTTGAGAACACAAAGTTTCTATTCAGTCAATCTGAATACATTTAATTTTCATGACAAATAGGCAGTACTTTCAGGAATGACATTTCATTACTCATCACAACAATACAGGACAAGGGGCCCCCAAGGCAGGTTAAAAAGTCCAACAAATACTAAGTAGATGAGGTTCAGACAGCAAGAAGGGTCATCTTTATTTCCTGAACTTAGAACTCCCCCCAGAAATCTGTATTTCATATCTTCCCTCTGGAGAAGTTCCACCTTATCAAGCCACTGCAAACAAGAAAGATTTTCTTCCAATAAATAAATCTAAATTGATTTTAAGAGAAGAGTTTCACACACAAAACAGAAGCTTAAAAATAATTCAGGTTCTAACCTTAGCTGAGTTTAATTCCAAGGCATGTTAATTGCAGAGGTATCCAAATAAAAACAAATCAAGGCAGAAAGGAAAGTGACTACACTTCTAGGATCTTGTGTAGAATAAGCAGCATAACATTTCTGAATGACTAAAATTATTTTGCTGCTCTATCCACTACATACATATCCACACTCATGAAAAGCACCTCCACCAGATCAGCTGGGCAGATAATAATCTATTGCATTTTTTCTTGTGATGAGACATAAAGGACAAGGGATGTTTACTATAAGAATCTCAAACACTGTAAGATTCCACAATGAAAGAATGAGATGCAGGACTATAAAAATGATGCCAAGATATTTACATAACGTGACTACACTCCTCTTCCCACCACTTTCATGCCTTTTACTTCATTGGGAACTTATATTTTGGTTTTCATCACATATTTAAACTGAAAGGCTTTTGACAAAGGAACTATTTCCTCACATGAAGGAGATCTTACAGCTAGCACAACAAAGGGCTGATCCTTAGAAAATCTCAGTGATGTTTAGATATAAATCCACTCATGTTAGGTGTGATTAGTTATGGCACTGCACAGACAAAGGAAAGATAACCGACTAAAACAATCATTTGTTTCCTGTCTTGTGATTTCACTTTCTATGCAGAAGGTTGTGCCCTCTGCACACTCTGAAAATGCAAAGGATATTTGAGAAGCTCTCATGAATGCTAAGAAAAAGCTTGGAAGAGTAATAAAATCATATTTACAGGAGAGAATTTTTGGCTAGGTGGAGATTTGTAAGAGCTTGGTCTCATAGTTTTCAAAGCAACTTTTATCATTATGGCCCAAGAGCAAGCAGTCCATGCTGTTACCTAGAAGTCTGCATGCCAAAGTGCTATCCAGGTGGCTGATGGAAGGGCAACAAGCTACCTGTAAACACACTGTTATGAAAGATTCTCTGAGGAGAATTTATCTATTCCCACAGTTCCAACTGGAAAACAAATAAGTGAGCGTACAGATCTCAGTCACATTACAGGTAAGATAGTTCATTGGTGAAACCATGAGAATGAGGAAAGACCTTGTCACCCCAAATGAAAGACAGTAACACAACTTTACTTCTCTGCACATTTATGTAAACCGGATGCTTTTAAGCTCCTGATTTCCTTTGGATAATCACGGTGCAGCTGTAGCTAAACAACCTGTCTCATTACAGAAACTTGTTTAAAAAATGTACTAATTACATTTAAGATAGAGACCAGAACTCAAGGTTTGTGTTTTAACATTTGAAGCTAAGCAAACTGGAATCTAGTTAAGCTCAAGATATTGTTCCTCTTCAGAGGATCAAAGCGGTGGCCTACTGAAGCAAGATATGCTCAAAGCACATGGTTTCTTATGAAGGGTTCAGCATTGTAAAAATTAGTTTCTTCTGTAAATTAGAATCCAGATTTCTTTGCCATTGTGGCACATTGCAAAGTTTGCTTCTATTGAAAACCTTTGCAAACTGATTGGCAAGCTTCCATGCAGACAGCTTTACACGCACCATGAAAGACATCGTGCACTGAGAAGTTCACATTTCTTTTCTGTGAGTTCTGGTGATGAGCAAGCAGAAATGAAAACTTCAGCATCTCACATGGTTAAAGGAGAACACTATCAGAAAATGAGAAAAATTTTTAAAAGAGTACGAAAACCCTTCTCCAAACTCCACACCTCTTTGGTTAAGGACCAGATTTTCAAAGGAGCTGCACATCCTGGTAATTTCAGGAAAGAGAAAACCTAGCAGAAAACCTAGTTTTAAATACAAAAAGAAAGGTCAGTCAAGGGTTAACAAGGGTTCAGGAAAAAAATTATGCCACTAGTGTAACCATGAAGAAGTAATGAGGGAATTGGTGAAGTTAAAAATCTAAATACACACACAAAGCTGAATTTGGCCGTGTATCAGAACAGAAAATGAAGCCATTTGCAAAGATACTCCTGCCAAACTTACGAAATTAGAACTCAGTGAACGATATATGCTGAATGCTATTGTAATTTTTTGAGTTTTTGAACAGAGCACTAGATCAATTACCACAACAATTAAAAAAACAATTAAGTATTAATTACATATATTTTAAAATATTTTTTGTGGGTTTTTTTTTTTTAGATTTTGTCTTTTCAGATTTTTTAGATTTAGATGTGACTCTGACCAGGCTTCTGTCACAAAAAGATATCACAAATACCTAGGTTTTGCCTTAATGTCTACAAAAGTATATTCCATGATAACCCATACTTCCACAATTTATCATGGTCTGATGTTTTTTTTTTTCAGCAGGATTTCAGGCTCTGCTTCACTTCAAAGTTATAATTCACTACCAACATGCAAATACAATCTACAGCAAATGATAATAAATTAAGATTGAGACCATAGGAAGAAATAACATTTTGCTACCACAAATTTGTTCCAAGTTATATGCAAGTTCAGTTTCCTGAAATGTCATTTTTATTATTTGAATAAGTTATTCACTTGGCCAAAATACCCTGAAACAAACATTAATAAAAACAAGCATTGTTATAGTCACATATTAATTCAGTAAGCAAAAGACAATAAATTCAATAACTATGACAGGGGGTGACTGTCAAGTTTCAGAGTTTTGTTCTATAACTATATGGTAAACAAGCTATGGAAGCACCTATCAGTGCAACACGATCACAACAGTGAAGGTTAGTTTCAATTTCCTAAAATTTAACTTAACTATCAAAGTAAAGTGAGAAAGAAACTGTAGAAAGCACAATAAATTTAAAGTCACCATCAAAATCATAGCCATGCTAGCTCATAGAAAGTTGAGACAAGCCACAAAAGAAAAATGGCAAAAAGTACTAAAAGGATCCAAGCTTCATTTATTCAACCAAACGCAGTACGGTGAAGACAAAATGTTTTGTTTAGTCAGGTTTTTGGTTTTGCTTATACAAACTTCAGACACTTCAGGTCTGTTTTGTACTTTCAACATACCAAAGTTCAAAAAGGGTAACACCAAAAGGTCACATTACAAAAAATGTGGAACAACTTGTGTAGTGGATGCTTGGTAAGGCTGGGTCACGTTGCATTACACAGCATGCAGAGCTAGTCTAAAAAATATGGACATCCTGCTGTGCTCACCAGAGTAACAGTAGTACACAGAGATAAAAAACACTCAAGGATCAAAATCAGCATTGCAGAAACAGCCACGTCATCTCAACATCTCTCAGAGACAATCTGTAATCTACTCTAGCTGGTCCAAAAATTGCTATTCTATTGACTAGGCAGGGACATGCACAAAAAAAAGAAAAAAGTCTCCTGGTTCAAGTAGGCAAAGTCTTTACAAAAAGAACTGATTAGCATTTTATACCTGAGAAGGCCTGCCCCTGATGTTTGCATGGAGTTCCTCTCATTTTCTACCAAGAAAAATACTGAGTGGTGTTTGGATGTCAGTTTTCCCAGACAAATGCTGGAACTATCCTTATCAAGATTTAAAGGGGTCTAGCCAGAAATGAAAAAAATCCAGACTGCCTAGCTGGATGCAAACATGAGTTTTGATAACAAATGCCAAAAACTATGAAAAAAAAAAAAGAATAGACTGATTAAGTATATATGCCCAGATCTCCCTAAGCTAGTACAATCTTCATCAAGACAACCAAACGATTAGCTAGAAAAGAACAAAGTTTTGTTTACTTGAAGAGTTTCCCATACAAGCCAGAACATAAAGCTTGCAGCAAATTTTTTTCCTCTGCTTGTTTATATGATGAAGGTCATGTTATTTTAAGGAATTTCAGCCTTTCATTAGATGTAGCAGGCTATGAACTCTATTGTGGAGATTGGAGGTCTGGTTAATTTTTTTTCTAACCTGCTGTCTGAATGAGCAGTAGTGATTTGCAGGAAACTCAGTGGAAAATGTCTAATGTACAATAACTCCCTGACTTCCATAGCCACTTTCCAAGATTGTTTTTGGAAACTCACAAGGTAAAAATAAGTCAGAGACAAAAAAAAAAAAAAAAAAAAAAATCAGTTTGTGACTGGTATGAAAGTCAGATCATCCTTAAAATGAAAAAGAAAACCTGCTTTCTCTGTCAGATGAAAAAAAAAAAATCTAGGCACCGTGCTAGCTTTAAGGTCATCCAATTTCATTAAACCCTTTTGATCTATTTCAGTGTTCTGTTACTAATCTACTGCTGACGAAGAAATATGCAAAATGCTCAAACTACAATGAACAACAGAACCTTGTCCTACCTAGACTCAGATACATTACAGAATACAGCAGGTCATGGGAAAAGTCAGTCAGTTCTCAATCTCATAATACATAAAGTGATGAATTTCAAAAACAGAATAAACCTCATGCTTTGTTTACCTGGTATGGAACAATACTGCCATGCGCTGTACCCCAGCGTTTAGCATCAATTTTGCAGTTAAGGTAATTAGCTGCTACATGAGTAAGACATGCAACCTGGAAATAGAAAAAAAAGTGAAGTATTAAAAAAACCTCAAAGTTCACTGGCAACTTCTTTAAGATTTGTGCGTACTTGAATGTCATTTATCTACACAAGGTAAATTATTTTATGTCACAAAAGCATCTTTTACATATCGCATATTATGAATAGCTTGAAAAAGATACGAAAGTGATTGTTTAAGTAGAACTCATACAGTAAAGAAAAAAAAAACAGGTTTCCATAACACTAGTAATGCCACGCAAATCTAGCATTAAACTGCCTTTAGAAATAAGGCAGTATTACCCTAAACACTTTGCAGAATGGTCAACAGGCACAAAGTGTCCTGTCCAAACTTTAAAAGGGAAAAAGAAGCACAACAAATTTGTGAGCTACAACTCCCATTTCCTGAATCTCAGACCCAGGCTTAAATCACAAAGACATTTTCTCAGTCACAAGATCTTTGTTTTCTCCTGCTCTCCTTCAAGTTACAGAAAATATTTCAGAATTCTTCAACCCCCACATATCCTGAAATATGAAGAGGTAGGTCATTTGACACTAGAAGATAAGGAATGAGTTACCGAGTTAATAGTAAGACAGACAAAAAACTGATAGAAGACACTGAAAAATACAGCATGCAAACTTTAGTAACCATAATATCAGGGTAAACATTGCGTAAAGCACGAATATATCCTAGGAAAAGAATGAAACGTTATGATGCAGTACTGCATGAAATCAGTAGTTCTGCCATAGTCACTGTTAGATTCTTCATCACTATTTCTTTGGGAGAACTGCATGGGACTGTATCTGAATCCAAGTAACACATGAAAGCATTAAAATTAGGTTCTCACTAATTCATCAGATGATGCATTTGTTTCGCACTTGAATACTTGGGAAATACTTGTGAAAGTAAGTAAAATTGCTTGCTTTTATGGTAAGCCAACTTCTTTTTTTTCCAAAAAGATTTAATTCTATCTAGAGGAGATGTCTGAAATTTCATACAAAGCTCAGTGTTTACACTATTCTGTCACTACTAATCTACATCAAAATGCAGAGCAATTAAATTAAAGTCCACCAGTAATATGTGCATTATATCAGAATTCCTTTAAAAAATTCATTTTCCTTCCTTCACGTGCTCTGAAAAGGCAGCATGAGTACATCAATTCCACATTTAAAGCAGATATATAATAGTAAGTCAAGTTTATGTTGATTCAGACTGGCAGAAAACCTAGGAAGATGTACAGCAAATGATAATTTAGCTGCTTCTGAAACACTACTAACTAGAAACACAGCACACTACTCCTGAGCACTGTTGGAAAACACTCTGTAGCCATTAAGCTGCAGCTTATTCTATCAGTGTCACTTCATTCAGCTAAAATGTTAAACACTGTCTACTCTAGCCCTAAGTAGAAAAAAAATCTCAGCAATAAAGGAAATGGACCTGTGAAGTATGTAGAAAGGACTTTTCCTTCTCATTTGCAACTTTCCTCGGTAACACAGAATGAAACACTATTATTACAGTTAGATGAGTCACAAAAAAAATTATTAATAACATATATCCTAATCTCATTGTTCCTCTCATTTTTCAATCTGAGGTAACACCACAGTGATATTTTTCTACCACAGCAAATGGTTATGCAACAATGACAAAATTCATACTACATTAATTGCAAGATATTGTTCTTAACTGTGTGCAGCACTACACAACTGCTGTATTACAAATTTCGCCCACGGGTGAGAAGCATCCGCTACAGCAGGCTAAGACACAAGGCATCCTGCCTATTTAGTCTTCCCACTTTTGGATGGAAATGCTAGATAAATCTTAATTGTGAGAAGGACATAGTGAATTGTAACTGTGCAAGTCACAAATCCTACCACATTAATACCAGGTTCAATCAAGTCAAGATGTCACTGCACTTGCTGTCTATGCTGTAGAAATGGAAGTTCCGCAAGAAAAATTCTAACCTTCAAATAATACATATTTGTAACAGCTTTGCAAATTGTTTGAGGTGTATATCATTCTTTTAACAGTGGAAAACAAAGAGGTACACATTTCTCCAAAGCACTTGTACCCAATACAATAGAAAAAAAAGATTTAAAACACAGCATTCACTGGGCACTGGAATTGCACCCTTAAAGGCTTGTTTCAGAAGCAACAGCCAGCAAACACCAGGGAAGTCAGAAGGTTGTCAAAGACTGTGCACGTATAGAACTAAAAGTTGTCTGGAGCAGGTTAAGGCCACAGTCTGAAAAACATCTCCCTTTCAGTCAGTGTGTTCATCTTTTGCATTAATACATGCATCCATGCATCTTGCTAAAATTGTTTACAATTTTTCTTCAGTAAATCATGAAGCAAAAAGGCTTCAAGTTCCTTCCGAATTTCTTCTGAGTTGCATATCTTGTTTACAGTCAAATTACCCAGTCAGAAGGAAGTATTATTTTTATTATCGTCATTATTATACAAATAAACTTCTATTAACCACATCAAAGCAAGTATTTCAGTACTCTGTGTTGTATGCATACACATACTTAGTTGAGTAAACTTCGTGGCATTCTGCCCCATTAGTAATAACTGTCTAATGAATTTAGCAGACTTAGAACACTTGCTGCTATTCCTACAGTCTCATGAACTGTTACAGCAGCCCCAGGAATACTCTGTTTTTCCCTTTCTTTCTTTTCCTGGCTCATTTCACTCCCCTTGATCTCACTGACATCCCCTTATGCTCACCGACATAATGCTATCTACAAGATCTTCCAGCATCAATGCTTTATGTCCTTAATAAGAAACCCAGAACTTATCCAGAAGCAAACTTCTAACTAAAAGCATTATAAATGACAACTCAAAAAACTTCTCTACAGAGATGATATCCCCCGTAGAAATATTGTTAACAAAACCAATATTTCTCCAAACTCCTCTGCATTTCAAGACTCAGAAAAGATCTCGTAGCTTACAGGTAATTTCTGCACAGAATAGCTACAACTTCTCAAACTGGAGATTGATCTGTATTACCTGTTCAGTCATAGACTTTTAAATATAGGTTTAAAACTGTTTTCTCGAATCATCTCTCCCTTCAGTAATAAGAGATCTATAAAAGTAACCTTTGGACTGGCAACATTAAAACATATCTAATACAAATAATACATCTCTTTATTCATTTGCTTGCAGAGGCAGATTACATACATAAATATGTATAACCACATCTCTACAGATAGGCATTTCTCTATTTCACATCAGTAAAAGCAACACTCCTTAAGATTCTTTTCTGCTATTAGTCTTGACAGCCAAATCACACATTTGTTAAACACTTATCTAAACCAGAACAAAAAGAGACCTGCATTAAAGTCTGAAAAGTTATGCTCAAACTATGGCAGAATCAGACAGATGGGAAGCAAGATATCAAGAGCCACAAGGTGAATAGACAAAGAAAAGAGACAGAATTTCAAACGATTTTTTTTCAAGATAGCACATCAAACAATTTATTACAATGAGTTCACTGAATCAGCCCATCATTTATGTGCAAGCTCAACAAGTATAATGAACAACAAAAGACAGTAACTGTAAAGAGGAGAAAAAACACATTTTAATTAAATTTGTTACTTTCTTCACTCTCCAACATTGTGTCTATTTCACTATATACCTAAAGATGGTGATTCTTACTCAAGTTGATGCATATTTTTTCTCATTTTTATTTGCTCTTTCTTAGGGAGGACATGTAAGTTTCCAGGAACTTAGAGAAAGGTGTTTTACAGCAGTAAAGATCATTGTTTTACAATATACTATGAAATTAGTAACCCAAATATTAAAGCTCTGTAAGGAAAAACCATCCTGAAAACTTTCAGTGCCTTATATTGTTGAAAGGCCAATCATCTTCCACAGAAGAGGCCTCAACATTGCCACGAGCTGTCAGTGAGCATTACCTGATACCTGGGCAGATAAGGGACTCCCTCCCAGCCTGAAGTTTAGAGCTCAGCAGGAACTTCAGAACAGCATGAGTGCACCATACGTCTATATGGCAGGCAGACAGCCCTGCTTGCAAGTACACAAAGTCATTGCCAACAAAGAGGAAGGTATTAGGAATTCATCATTAGCATCCCTACATCCGTGCAAAGGAGATCCGACCTTCCTCTGAATTCCACATTTGAATTCCTAACTGTCCTGTATTATTTTCCCTCTCTTTCCATAGCCTGTAGTGCTGCAGTTGCTTTCAATTTGTGCAGAGCAAAAAATTTGCTAATTCCGTAAGTGACTTTGAAGAGGCCTGTGAAAGGAACCTGAAAATGCAAGACTGTGATCATGTAACCTAAGGTTTGCTGTCAAAGAGTCTCCACCCGTTCAAAAAAATGTCTGTGGTCAAACTATGAGCACCAGCACTCTGGGTGAAAACAATTTTCTGTCTGCTTGTGCTGATTCTTTGAATGTGAACATCTATTAACTGATTGTGAGTTACTTCTCCACAAAATGCAACTCCTGGCATGGAAGAACCAGCACATGGAACAATCCCAACCACAACTGCATCAAGAGGAAATCAAACCCATACTGACCAATAGCTACAAGTTTAGAATAGGTCTCACTATGCTATAGAATAGTAGGATCTATTTTAGGGTATTCAACTCAGACACTTAAGTAGGTACCCAAAACTGTGCCAATAATCACATGCAGCTTATGAGACTCACTGATTAAAGATAACCATTTGATAGAACAGCCCTTTTAGAAATGATGGCACGCAGTAAATCACATTCACAGAAATTAAGCATTAGGGAATGCTTAATAAACTAATAACAATAAAAATACTATGAAAACACAAGCAATAAAAAACCAAAGTATTTTAAAACCCTATCTTAGACATGAGACATGAATTTTCAGCAGGAAAAAAGAGATCAAAACAAGCTGAAGTTGACACAGTAGCACACTGAAACACTTCAGTACAAAAAATGTCTAAAAACTAGATTTGCTTTATTGAAAACCTGTCAACTATGTAAATACAGAGATACAGATACATGAGATACAGAAACAAGATGC